AATAAAAGCTGTTAATGATTAATAATGAGATATTTGGTGTTCATTGTATTACAACAATCCCAATTAAAAAAAAAAAAACACTATCAGCCGTTTTAGCAAGTTTTCAACTTCATTCAATATCGCGTTACGTCCTTTCGAATTATTTCAATAGGTGAACACTTTTTAAGAAAGTGTCCATAAAAATAACCAAAAGGGCAAAACGTCCGGATGAATGAAGATGAACAATAGAAAATAACTCTCCATTCCTGAAAAATAATGGAGAGTTTGAACAAAAGATTTACGTCACAGGTGTATTTTAACAGCTAGGAACTTCAGTTTCATATTTAACCGCTGTAGCAGACGACTGTTCCCGCTTTTATACCTAATCAGTACTGGAATATTAGTGCCAATATTCAAAAACAAGGGTACAAGGTCGGATCAAAATTGTTACAGGGGTATTACCTTGAATTCTTCTTTCAGCAAATTATTTTCGGCTATCCTAAATAATAGACTTGGTAAACTGTCAGATTATATCTCCCTTATTTCAAGCTCACAGGCTGGTTTTCGTAAAGGACATTCAACTATTATAGATATCAGATAACATTTTTGTCTTGTACGCCCTAGTCATTATTTACTTTTCCTTAGGCGGGAAACTTTATTGTACATTTGTTGATTTTAAGTCTGCTTTTGACACCGTTTGGAGACTAGGGTTGTGGAATAAATTGCAAAAATCTGGTATCAGGGGTAAAATTTTAACTGTACCAAAATTTAAAGACACGAGTCAAACTCGGTAAGAAGTTCTCGGACATATTCAACTGTGAGATTGGTGGTAGAAAATTTTGTCACCATTTCTGTTTTCAATTTATCTGAACGACCTAGACGATTTTTTTTGTGGATAATAATGTAGAATGTCTAGAAATATTTCAGATTTATGCTTAGAAAAATTGCTGCTATATTTTAAACTTCTTGATATTGAATGCTGACGATACTATCATCATGTCTGAAACTCCTGAAGGTTTACAAAAGGCATTGGAATTATTTGAGAAATATTGTAATACATGTATTACAATTCTTAACCTTTCTTTTACTAAAAACCACTACCTTTGTATTACCAATGTTAACTTTTAGTTTCCATATAAGATTAATGATCAAATTATAGGAACAGTGGATTCATATTCATACCTAGGGCACAGGATGTTTGCGCTTTTTTTTACCTGTAACACGATAGGACCTTTGTGCTCCAAACACTATGGACATTTGCGCTTTAAATTTTGATACACCTGTATTAAATTGACCGGACATTTGCGCTTTTTACCTATAGACGTTTACCTGTGATTTTAATGAATTGTAATAATTACGTAAATAAATTCAACTTATATCAGATACTTCACATTGACATAGTCTTAAACATAGAGTTTAAAGTTATAGACTAGATTAATTCTGATGTCCACTAGAAGCAATATAATGGTCATAGCAGATTGGCACATCCAACGTCCTGAGCGTGGATTAATTCTGATGGCCACTAAAAAGTCATATAATGGCCATAGAAGATTTTTGGAGGCCGTACGGTGACCTGTAGTTGTTAATTTCTGTGTCATTTGGTTTCTTGTGGAGACTTGTCTCATTGGCAATCATACCACATCTTCTTTTTTATAGTAAAGGAATTTTTTGTTTTATGTCACGATGGATTTTTATCATTGAATAACAGTCGGTTAATTATAATAAAATTCGTGATATTGATGAACAGGGACCTTATTCAATAGTTGAGAAAGAGAACTTTTATGTCTTTAGAATGTCAACTTTTAGCTATAGATAACAATATTAATGTTTTATACAATAACTTTTAAACACGATTGTGCTATGAAATGACTATCAAACTTTTAACCATAATGACAATTATGACTTTAACTTTGCCAGGTCAAACCTACCGGTCCTATGCCCGGATTAAATAGGAGGGAATTCATAAGAAGCAAATATTGTAAAAGCGCAAATGTCCTATAAATTGAAGCGCAAATGTCCTATGAAAAAGCGCAAACGTCCCGCGCCCCATACCTAGTGGTCATGTTTAATTACAATGGAACTTTTCCAACCGTTATAAAAAAAACTACATGATCAAGCCCAAAAGGCACTTTATGCCTTATTCTATAAAATACAAAATATCAGTATACCTATTGATTTACAATTTAAACTTTTTGATTGTCTTGTTCCAGTTTTGTTATATTCGGCTGAAGTATGGGGTTTTGAAAATATAATTTGTAAAGAAAAAATACATCTTCAATTTTGCAAAAAACTACTGAAACTTAAAAATACCACTCCTAACTACATGGTTTATGGTGAAACTGTGAGATATCCTTTAGAAATTGTACTAAAACAAAAAATGATATGTCATTTTGGAATAATTTATTGGTAAATGATCATAAATTGCCAACAATTATGTACAAATTAATGTTTGAATTACATAAAACTAATCCTCAAAAGTTCAAATAGATTTCATACATAAAATCTATTTTGGACGAATGTGGTTTAAGTTTTGTTTGGAGTAACCAGGTACATGTACATATGGATAAAAACCATCTTAAATTAACTATAAGACAAAGACTTTACCGATCACTTCATTCAGCATTGGGTATCGCAGATTCAAAATTCTTCAAGTGGAGAATTCTATTCCCTATTCAAAAACAAGTTTGACTTGGAAAAAATATTTGATGAATCTTAAGAAACATAAAAGGGTATTCATAACTTAAATGAGATTTGCAAATATTAGATTTCCTATAGAAACTGGAAGATGGGTCGAGATACCTAAAGAGAATAGAATTTGTAACCTTTGCAAAAACGTAATCGGGAATGAATTTCATTATTTATTTCAATGTGTATTTCCACCATTTGAACAACTTAGAAAAACATTTGTACGTAGTTACAATAGTACAAATCCAAGTGAGATAAAAAGAAAAATATGTTATGACTATGTCATGTTCGGCTATATAAAAACCTGTCTTTGTTCCTGAAAAAAATCTCGAAGTATTTTCAGAAAAACCATGTATCAGATTGTGTTTTTATAGAACTTTTTTGTTGAAGCATGATATCATATGTTCGATTTTTCTGTATTATTTGCTCTGTATTTGTCAGTCTCGCCTGCCATCATTTATGTATACAATGTTAGTTTATTGTCCTCTTGTACACTCAATGTGTCTGAGGTTAAAGAATTTGAATTGAATTGGTATTATTCTCTTTAAAAGCAAATAAAACAAAACAAAATGAAATAATATTTTTTTTTTATCTATCAATTGCAGTTATTCATATAATGAAGACATAGTCTTTCAATCAGTTTAATTGAGGTCTGGAGCTGGCATGACAGTCATTTGTTAATTTATGTACATTGTCATTTTGCTTAGTTTTCTCTGTTACCTATTCTGACATCGGACTCGGACTTCTTTTAAACTGAGTTTTACTGTGCGTATTGCTGTGTGTTTGTTTATTCTACATTGGCTAGAGGTATAGGGGGAGGGTTGAGATCTCACAAAACATGTTAAACCCCGCCACTTTTTTTGCGCCTGTCCCAAGTCAGGAGCCTCTAGCCTTTATAGTCTTGTGTGTTTTTTAATATTAGTTCATTTATATGTTTCGGAGTTCAGTGTGACGTCCATTTTCACTGAACTAGTACACATTTTATATAGGGGCCAGCTGAAGCCCGCCTCCGGGTGCGGGATTTTCTCGCTTTGTTGTTGACCCATTGGTGGCCTTTGGCTGTTTTCTGCTCTTTGGTCGGGTTGTTGTCTCTTTGACACATTCCCCATTTCCATTCTCAATTTTATCACTCATATTAAAAAAAATTAAATCATTAATAGCATTTAATTATGTGACTCTCGAAAATGTGAATAGATCTGAATGTGTACAGATTCATCTCATTAATCTTACATTGTTTTACTACAGGTCCGTTAATTGTATCTAATATACAAATATTGTACCTGTAAAGACAGGTAGTTTCAAAAGCATGGGAGATGAATTTTGATTTAACAGCTGGGTGCCCAAGATACACGAAGGCTCCGTTTATTGTAGTAAACCTTTATTTTATATTTGTAAAAACAGGTACATTGTGTAGGTTCAAAAGCATGCAAGATGAATTTTGATTTCATAGCTGGGTGCCAAAGATACACGAAGGCTCCATTTATTGTAGTAAACCCTACACACTTGATGATTATAAAATGTCATATGATTTTTTATTTGTTCAATTAAAAAGTTCGTTGGTGAAGATTCATCAAATTTTCAATTTCAAGTCAGAAATGAGTCCAAATGACACGTGAAATGAAAACAATATTCCTTTTAAAACGGCTTGATGTTAGAAATCAGAGGACACGTTTCTGACCACACCCGTTTAGTTTTCCTGCTTCACCAGAAGTGATCTGATTTAAAAGTTATTGACACCGACGAAGGCTATTTTAAGCCGAAATATTTGTCAACACGATTTATAACATCATCTTCGTATATTACCATTTTATATTAGTACCGTTGTGCATATCTTTAGACTTATACAATTTTTTCCTTATCTGCGCAGTATTGTCTATTCTAGACGATCCAGTACATATTAAATTTGCTGGTTGGTCCTTTTTATAGACTTATATATGTATTTAGTGCAGCTCCAGGTCTCTTGATGAATTGTTAGATATCATATATAAATGGAGAAAAGCTTTCAAATTATCAGTGTTATAGTAGTGTCAGATTATACCAATTATTTAAATAAATGAAATTCAAACAAACATTTATAAATCATGAAATGATAAATTTCTTTTTTAGGGTTTTATAAATGTAATTTACTTTTATCGACTTTTTTTTAAAACAAAAGTATCTGGATCGTATATAGTTTTGAACTGTTTTAAGACCGTGCAATTTTATCAATACGGAACAGGAACATACAGTTTGTGATGTGACTAAACATTGTGTGAGCGCTCCCCCTACTTTTTATACCGTACAAACATGTCTGTTTCACCCATTTTGTTTAATTCTCAGTGTTTACTAGTACAAACCTCCTCTTTCGATGTAAACCTTCTAGTCTGTCCATTTTCTTTCCGACACAGTTTTGTAACTCGGTCCAGTCAGCATGTACACCACATGGCCATCCTGTAGAATATCGACTAAATAACCATTTTGTTTTATTTGATGTTATGCAGCTGCATGCATCAACTTTAGGACCGGTATTAGGACAGACGCATGGCGGAGTAACATTCAGGTTAGTTACTAAATGTCCTCCAAAATGAGAACCTCCTGTTTTTTGAATATGGAGAAACACAAGTACATCTCTTGTTTTAAAATTTAAATGATACTGTCTCTTTTCAACTAATGCTTTTGTATAAGTTGTCGGAATAGTAATTAATTTACCGTAGTTAAAAACTATGACATTGTAGACAAAGCAGACTGTTAAACAGGCGTAAAATATGAAAAAATATGTCGAGAACATCCAGGTTGACTTCATCTTCCAGTGTGTTCACATAGAAAAACGTGCGAGCCAATCAGCTACAGTACTATTATAAAATGTAAGCGTGGTTCCGGTTGGTTGCTCTATATGCTATATTTAGTATCCGAATGAGTATGTCGCCCTCGCTTTTAATTAGATGTGGGAGGTCCTTTTTGTTATGTAAAAATATATACTGACATAGCCAAAGATCCAGATATTGGTAAACGTAGCTGTGCGTATGTAATACCTGAATTCAAAATAAAAAAGGTTATAGACTGCAAAATAACTTGTCAGTATTTACAAGTGAACTTATGGCAATATTATTCATTATCAGCATTGCAGGCAATACGGGGACCTCTTTCAAAGATCAATAACTTAATAATTTATGATATATACTATAATATAACTACGCGTCTTAAAGCAGGTATACATGTTATGCTTGAATGGATCCCTAGCCATGTAGGTATCTGGCTATGAACAGGGGCGGATTCAGGCGGGGGCGTGGCGGGTGTTCGCCCTCCTAAAATTTGCAAATCATGGGTTGTCCTCAGCTTAATAAAGAATATTTCGACAATTTTACCTCGAAACAAATTTTCGCCACGCACCGCTCAGCGAAAATCTAAGTTTGCGCCCATAACACCCCCCCCCCCCCCCCCCCCCCTCTAAACCTGAAATCCTGGATCCGCCCCTGATGAATTAGCAGATATGCAAGCAAAACATGATTTGAATTATGAATTAATATATGCAAATACCCCACTATATAAAGAAGATATTAAACCTGTATGTACTAATATACTTAAACCTATGTGGCAAACTAGCATGAATTCCAACAAAAATGGTAGACACTTGTATGAAATAAAGAAAAAAAACATTTAATGTGTCCCTACTAAAAATGATGAGGCGCAAAGAAACTATAATGCAAAGACTTAGAACTGGTTATACCAAGCTGAACAAATAGTTATACAAAATAGGATGTAAAGAATCTGAAATACGTGAACATTGTGGTAGATCACCTGAAATACGTGAACATTGTGGTAGAGCACCTGAAATACGTGAACATTGTGGTAGAGCTCCTGAAACAGTAAAACACTTTCTGCTAGATATAACGATAATAGAAATGTTATGTTTCAAGAGTTAATTGCACAATGATTTACTGATTCCTCGATGAAAAGTCTGCTGTTAGTTATAAAATACGAAAAGTATATATATTAAATGGATCATATCTATATTAAAATGAAAGACTGGATTACAAAAAAGGCAGGTTAGAATCTTCATATAAAAACACAATACTTACCCCTACCCCTTTCACTACATCAATACCACACACATGTTTTGTAACAATAGTACATCCACGCTCAGATATAAGTACGAATACCCAGTCAAACACACCCAAATCCTTTTGTTTGAACACATATATAAACAACAACACCACACGGTCAATTAAATAGTACAAACGAAAAGTAAACTAACACAGGAAGGGGGGATGATATAAACTAGAGATACTGCATTCTTTGCTTACACATATATATGCTTTTAATATTAAGGATTTACTTCAATGAAAAACAATCCAACACCTAGATAATTTATTCTAAAGCTTTAAGTTATTTGGAGAGGATACTGATGATCAGGGTGGGAACAGTATCAATCATATAGGAGAATACTTATCGACAAGTAATAGCCAAATTTTATTACTTTAATTCAACATGCAAATCAAATAGAACTCAAATAATACTATTAACATTTAAATATTGAAAATGATTCCCGCTTCAGGTTAAAGTTTTTGGTCAAAGTAGTTTTTGATGAAGTTGAAGTCCAATCAACTTGAAACTTGGTACACATGTTCCCTATGATATGATCTTTCTAATTTTAATGCAAAATTAGAGTTTTGACCCCACATTCACGGTCAATGGAACATAGAAAATGATAGTGCGAGTGGGTCATCCGTGTACTATGGACACATTCTTGTTTAGTAATAATTTACATTGGCTTTTTAATAGTTGTAACAGAGCTGGTGGGTTTTTCCTTTTATGATTTCTATACAAGAGACATATTACCAGAGACTCTCTGTCTATACATTAGAAACATAACCCCGTTGAATTTGACAAAGGCCGTGGATAAAGCTGCAGCTGGTTCAATATCCCTATTGAGCCTTAAAGTGAGGAACTCAAAAGTGGTGCGTTAACAAAATTATTTTGTGCAAGAAACATCTCAAGTTTTCTTAATTTCTTCTATGTGTCCATGCAAATGCTATTACTCTCATCAGGAACGCTAAAACCTAAATATAGATAAGCATTGCGTAAATACGTTAGCATCTATATGACCAAAACAAGAAGGACCGAAACTGAATAGTCTAATTCATCGAAGGGTAACCTTGCTTGAAAAGAATGTTTATCTCACTTAATTATCAGAACTGGGGAGATAAATACTAGTATCGATTTGAATACTGGTATCGATTTGAACATCCTCCATGCAACTGAATTCAGCCTAATGAAAAATGGAAAAAAAAATTGTAGCCAATGGGTTCAGAACAATAATAATATAACATCTTGGTACTCGGTTGTTACAAAATAAGTAAACTTTTATACTTTTGTTTAAATTGAATAGGAATTCGTGCGCTTTAGACAGTATAAATTTGTCATGGTATCTAGAAAATTATGATACATGCGACATACGCTAAGTGCTGGTACGTATGTAAACTACTATTGATTGGAAACTTTTCATTTATTAAAAGTTCAAACAACACTGTTACAGTTTGGTTATATAACAATTATCTTTCTTAGGTTAAGAACTTTAATTTTAGAAGATTTTTATCTGCTAACGAGCTACAAATTAAGGTTGATCGATTATCAAACATTCCAAGAAATGGGAGAATTAAAAAAAATGTAGTAGTAATTCTAATATAATGCATTGCTAGTAAAATGTTCATGATAAAACATTTTAATTATCAAGGAAATTTCGACGGCGATAGCACAACCATAATTGTTGCCGAATACTCTGACCCTCAACCTTATAATTGACGGCAGACGTCATCCAATAAAAGTGACGGGAGACGTCATCCAATCAAAGTGACGACTGACGTCATTAAATCACAGTGCAATTCGGCAATTGTATATAAGGTATACATGTACGTGTTCTTGTTAGTGTCTGCAATTTCTGTCTTAGTTGAATTAAATCCTTTACCACTTATATAACATTTATCCCGAGTGTGTTCTCTTATGTGTCCCTGTAAGTTATTCTAATTCTGCAAAAAAACCTCTTTACTACATTCATCCCATGCATGAGGAATATCCCAAGTATTGTGGTCACATGTGCTTCTGCATGTTATGTCACTGATAAAATTCTTTACCACATACAAAACATTTATAAGGTTTATCTCCTATATGGGTTCTCGTTTGTTTCTCTGTCATTATTATCAGTAAAAATGTTTTACCACATATATCACATTTATAAGGTGTATCAACAGTGTGTTCTCTCATGTGTATCTGTATGCGCAGACCTAACTTTTTACCATAAACCTCACATTTATTATAGGGTTTATCACCAGTGTGTTATAGACTTAACTTTTTACCACACACATCACATTTTATAGTGTGTTAGTGATAGGCACTTTTGTAAACCATTTACCGCATACATCACATGTAAACCATACGGTTTATCATAAGTAAGTCTCTGTAAGTCACGTGGCTGACTGAGTTCTTTACCCCATTTTAAACATTTAAAAGGTGTATCACCTTTGTGTTCTCGTGTGACCCTGTACGTCATGATTTCGGCTAAACCCTTTTCCACATAAATCACACTTTCACCGGTTTTTGACCAGTGTGTGTTTTCATGTGTCTCTGTAGCTGATGTTTCATACTAAACTTTTTATCACATGTATCACATTTAACAGCCTTATCCCCAGTATGTGTTCTCATATGGTCCTTTGCATCCTTATTCCGCCCTTTACCGTACACTTTACATAAAAACTAGATTCCACCGATATGTTTCCTGCAATAACTGACCTGTAGTCTGATCAAGGTGGATATTTTTGGAACTAGCTGTATGTTCGTTGCAAGGCATTTGATTTGTGTCTATACTTGCTTGTCATTTTTTTAAATTTTTTTTATTGGCCTAGAGTCTAGTTAAGAAAATATAATAATGAAAGCAACTGCAGATTTATATTAACTACTGAAAGAATTATTATTTCAAATTCGAAGTTATCTACCAAATGCATAAGGGATACTTGCAGTCTTTGGTCTCCTTTTTTGTGTTGTTTTGCGAGTGCGAACAAAAAAACCTCATCAAAGATACCAGACTAATAATTTGGTATGCAAGACACACGTTTAGACTCATAAATGGTGCTCGAACCAAAACAGTTTAAAGGTCAAATCAAATACAAAAAGCAAATCATCAAATATACCAGGCTTATAATTTTGTACGCTAGACGCGCGTTTTGTCTACAAAAGACTCATCAGTGACGCTCAAATCGAAAAGTTAAAAGTTTAAATAACGTACGAAGTTGGAGAGCACTAAAAAATTCCGAAAGGTTTTGCAAAATACAGCTACGGTGATATTTCACTGGTGTAGGAAAATCTTAGTGGTTGGAATAATTCAACATGTCATAAACGATAAAACGTACGTAAAATTTACGATCAATGATAAATATTTCCTGTCAATCATTAAACAACTATCCATCATCAATCATTTACAAAAAATTATCTCTGCCATATTTGTCAACTTTTCTATTGTTTGTATGCCAAGTTACTGAACAACTATTTTTCTATTTAAATGAAACGTGGCAATGGTAGCTGGGATCAGCAATGTATGTAAATTTCCCAAAGTTCGGTAGCTATGTAACCTTTAATGCATTTTGTCTCGCTTGAGACAAAGTTCGCAGAATGCTAGACATAGGGATGAAATCCGGCGGCGACGGCGACGTGGTTAAGTTTTTTGCAAAAAGCTTTACCTTCCTTATACTACATTTCCATTTGTTATTTATGTCAATTCCTTGGTCCTATTTTACATGGTTTAGCGATTGCTTCAAAACTGAATCTTATTTGGGAACATAAATGTTTTACTTATCATGACTAATAGGATAACTATATTTGGTTGATGGGATCCATGCAAGGTCTACTCATCTATTAGTCAAGGTTCACTTGACCTTATTCCATGGACCAGTGGAAAAGGCTTTAGCTTTCATGGTCAAGTCCGTATATCAGACACTATAATACATCTTAAAGACTTTCAATATCAATTTAATCATGGTCAGTAAAGCAGGCAAAATATTTCAGTGTGTGTATTGTTATTCGATTCTATTTTGTTTTCGAAGCGATCCTATAGGACACGTTCGAAAGGTATTTATTTTGATTGGACGAAGCAAACCCCGTTCCAGTAATTTAACCGCGTGACGATTTAAAGTGTATAAATAAAAGTCATACTTCCAACCAAGCTATACCAACAGAAAATTTTGAAAATGAATATTCGAGCCGAGTAAGAACAGTAAAAATGATAATCTTGAAAAAGTTAGGATGGATAAAAAAGAATATTCTGCCCGAAAAAATCACCATGCTCACTCATCCCCGGTAAATCTAATGGTCGTCCCCTAGCGTTACAAGTTGAATTGTAAATTTGTGTTTACGTGAAAGGCCGGTTAATACCATTTTATGTCAAATGACTTGACTGAAAAATAAATAATAAGTTGGTTATTTGATGTTGATTTGCTTTCATGCTCCTTGAATACATTTGTAACCTATTCATACGAAGAAATATTCGAAGTGATTCGTAGAAAAAAATCAAGTTTTGGTTTACCTTTAAGTCGCATCTCGTCCTCGTGAACGTAATGTGTAAATTTGCATATACTAATAGTGCGTTAACAGCCTCTCCTCCAAGACTAGTTTGACAAAAGGAACAAAACCTGACTGTAAGGTTTTAATGTGGTCCTTACAAGAGTTCATAAGTTTGGTTCTGATACTGAATTTGAAACGACTAAGGACATGTAAAGGGTTTTGATTGGTGAAATTCACAGTATTGATAGAAGACGATATTATGATATGACCCTTCTTCAAGCTGTTACATGTATTGTGATAATCTGAAATATTACTTGGCCGTGGTCGTCGATGTTGAACAAAGCTAAATGGTCCGTATGAGATATAGTTTTGACACTCTTTTTTATTGTTGTTGAAAATAATAATAATAATAATAATAATAATAATAATTTCAACCAAATGCAGGTTTCTTTTATAGGTTCGATGCATACATCATAACTAAGTTTTTTTAGATACTTCAATATTTTTGTGGCTATATTTTCAGTAGAGAACATTTCTAAATGAGATAAAAAAAAAAAGGGAAAAAAAGGAATCCCTTACTTCTTTTTAAAGTCACAAATTATTCATATTTAACA